GAAGGAGGGAATGGGGACATGAAAGCCAGACTGGGAGGAGAGGAGGGTGGAGGCTGGGATCAAGCTGTGAAGTTTAAAAAAAAAATCAGTACTTAAAGAAAAAAAAAAGATGTGCAGTGAATAAATAATTAGAAAATGCAAAAAATAAATATTTAGAAAGAGAGAATAGAAGAACACATTATTTTAAAAAATGAAATGAAATAAATATTTTGGTTTTTTCTTTTTTATTTATTAATTGTTAATTTTTTATATTAATCACAGGTTATTTACTTTGTATCCCAGCCGTAGACTCCTCACTCATTCCCTCCCAATCCCACTCTCTCTTCCTCATCTCCTCCCTGCCCCTTTCCATGTCCACTGTGAAGGGAGGTTGCCTCCCCTTCCATCTGACCGTAGCTTATCAGGTATCTTCATGACTGGCTGCCATGTCCTCCTCTGTGGCCTAGCAAGACTGTTCCTCCCTCAGGGGGAGGGGGAGAAGTAAAGGAAGCAGTAGTTGTGTTCATGTCAGAAATAGTTCCTGTTTCCCTTACTAGGGAAACCCACTTGGTTCTTGAGCTACCATGGGCTACATCTGAACAGGGGTTCTAGGTTATATCCATTCAGAAATATATCTTTTGAAGGCTAGAAAGATAGCTCAAAAAGAAAATTGCCATGGTCATAGTATCTTTATACATAACAGAAACCCTAACTAAGACACCACATAATAGAACATCACAAAACCTTCGTAAAGGATGATGTTTTGACAGTAGGTACTGGGGACTAATTTGTTTCTTACTAGTTCTGTTGGTATAATGCTCTTTTGAAATGTATACACCTTACCTTTTTTCATTCAAATGCTGATTTCTCTCCTCCACTATCTGGTTTCAATCCTGACATTGCATTGTGATGTTTATTCTAAGCATCACCTGTCTCAAGTTTGTATAAACATGCCACCATTTGTTCTCCAATTTGTCAATTAAAATAACCATCCACAATGCTGAGCAATAGACAGGATAGGGTGGGCATCCTGGTACAGAGTGGGAGGAGAGGAAGAAAGCAAAAGAGGTAAGAAGGAGAGGGGAGGAGCCAGAGGAGAGGAAGGAATGGGAGGAGAAAAGGAGGAGAAGCTGCAGGAGAGAAGCTGGGAGAGAGAGGCTGGAGGAGAGGTCTTGGAATGATGTGGAGAGATGGACCAGACCTAAGATATCACTAAAAGCAAGTATAGTGAGTAAAATCTGAATGGTAGGAAACTACGTGGGCTTGGAAGTTTAGGATGGAATAACTATTGCCCAGCTTTGTGTTCTAGGTTAAATTAAGTAAATCCCAGTCTCTGTGTGGTGATTTGGTTAAACAGCTGTTTAGTATTAACCACAGCTTTACTAAAAGATATAGCAATAATAAATAATAATGACAATTACAACATAGTTCACTTTCAGTACTGGTATAGAGGAAATTCCCTCCAACATGATGATGGTACAGAGAAACACTCCACCTATGGTTGCAGGCAAATTCCTAAATAGAGAAACTGAAATGAGGGGTACTGAGGTTGAGGACACAGATTAGAGCATGACTGTTTAGTGAGTCTAGAGTTTCTCTAAAGAAAATGAAATCTTTACAGAGATCTACTTGGTGAAGTTTGCACAACAATGTTGGTGTCCCTAAGGTCACTGAGATAGACATATGAAGTGTTAAAAGTGGGAAATGTCAAGTGATATGCATATTACCTAGTGAAAATACATATATGACATATTTGATTGTTTTTGCTATGGTTACTCAATTTAAATTGAAGTAAAGAAAAAAACAGACAGTTTTAGGGGACTCTGCGAGCAACGAAATTCATCTTTCCTCTTAGGTTTTAGCCTTAAATATTGCTATCTTTTTTGTGAATCACCTTCTCCTAATGATTCCTGTGAAAGCTATGTCTATTACACCCTGAGGGTAAGAAAAAGTCATTCCAAGGCTTGTGTTCTCATAGAATTTCACCTTAGTTGTGGTTCAAATAAGAAATGTATTGGTTTACCCAGAAACGCTTTTGTCATCAAACAAAATGTCATGTATGAAGTGATTGAATGTGAAAAGGCTATTTGTTCCTTTAGCAAGGTACACAGGTTCAACTCCAAACAGGCCACTGAAGTGGTCCAATGACACCCCCTCAGGACAGATATGAACAGATTTAGTAAGAGCCTAGAGCCTCAGAGCTTGGAGTCCCAGAGCCTAAAAACTCAGAGGCTGGAGGTCTGGAGCCTGGGGACCAAATCTCATCACTGCACAGCAAATCAGAAAAAGGGCAAGGTTGAGGCATGGGCCTGACTAGCCAGAGACTTGGAATTTAAAGCCTGAGTAAAGTGTTGCTGGGCCAGATCCTTGGACTTCAGTAACGTCTGAAAGCTATGAAGTGAACCAAGGCAGCAGCAGTCAATATAGGTGAGGTCCTACCTTCACAAAGACAGGAAAGGAAGGGACCATGGGGAAGAGCCTTGAGAGATTCCATGGAGAATTGAGCAGAGCCCCAGGAATGAGAATATCTTCTCAAGCTCAGTAGTCCTGCTCAGTGGAGGTAGAGGAGGGTGGAGAAGCTAGAGAGGAAACCAGACATCTGCAGGGCTCAGGTTTGAATAGGTTTCAATTGAGTGCAGGTCTGGTTCTGTCTAGGGCAGTGACAGCTGGTATCATGCACAGTAAGGACATGTTCATCTCATCTTGAGCTACAGAGATTTTCTTTCAAGAATATCACCGCTAGACAAAAACTTCTCTTCATGATTGACATGGGCAGAAGTAGTAACAGGTGATGCGTTTGTGGTCAAGAACTATAGAGGCCATGGCTTAAGAGACTCAGAATATCTTGCTCTGAAATCCCTGGCGTGGCTTCCTCTAGTACCTCACCTCTGGTGGTTCGATGACTTTTCTATGTCTATGAGACTCTTTCCTCATCTTCATGAGGAAGATGTGTGGTTGCAAAGACTAAAGGATGGGACAGATGGATTAGGAGCTGCAGACCTTCTCCTATTTTGTAAGGAGGATTCAATAGGTCATGTTCAAAATAAGCCCATTTCTTGATGTATGTTAGGCAAGGATATGATGTCATGTGGCTCCAATTCATGAGGAAATCTTGTGCCACTTAAGAAAAGTTTTGCTACAAGTCTATAGTTGTGTGAGTTTTGATCTTTGAGATGCAGTGTTATCCTTCTAATAAGTTAAGTTTCTCTCTCTCTCTCTCTTTATATATATATATATATATATATATATATATATATATATATATATGCAGTTTGTAGAATTCTTGTTCTGTGATGTATTTGTTTGTTTATTTATTTATTATTCTTATCTCATATATTATATCTGGATCAGTTTCCCATTCCTCCAGTCCTTCGAGGTGTGCTGCATTTTCATAGACAAACTAAACACCATTCATTAAAACTTTAGTTCAAATATATATATATACTTAGCCATTTCCAAAATTTGTGGATCAATATTTGGAAGAATAGTTCAAATAATTGTATATGCCATGGGGGTCTTAGTTTCTCAGGAAGGAGTAAGAAGGCATTTTAGAAGTGCTGCTAGCTTTATTTGTAATAGCCAGAAGCTGAAAATAACCCAGATGCCCCTCAGTTGAGAAATGAGAAATTGTGGTACAACTACACAATGGAATATACTCAGCAACAAAAAACAAGGAAATCATGAAATTTGCAGGCAAATGGTGGGACCTGGAAAAGATCATCCTGAGTGAGGTATCCCAGAAGCAGAGAGACACACATGGTATATACTCACTCATAAAGGGATATTAGACATATTATATAGTATAAACATACTAAAATTGTTACACCTAAAGAAACTAATCAAGCAGGACTCTGACTAAGATGCTCAATCCCCATTTAGAAAGGGAAAGAGGATGGACATCAGAAGAGGAAGAAAACATGGAACAGGATAGGAGTCTACCACAGAGGGCCTCTGAAAGGCTCTACCCTGCAGGGTATCAAAGCAGATGCTGAGACTTATCGCCAAACTTTGTGCAGAGTGCAGGGAATCTTATGAAAGAACGGGAAGATAGAAAGACCTGGACAGAACAGGAACTCCACAAAGAGAGCAACAGAACCAAAACATCTGGGCACAGGGGTCTTTTTTGAGACTGATACTCCAGCCAAGGACCATTAATGGATATTACCTAGAACCCCTGCACAGATGTAGCCCATGGCAGCTCAGTGTCCAAGTGGGTTCCATAGTAATGGGAACAGGGACTGTCTCTGACATGAACTGATTGCTCCCTGAGGGGGCGCAGGGGGAGCAGCCTTGCCAGGCCAGGCCACAGAGGAAGACAATGCAGCCACTGTTAATGAGACTTGATAGACTAGGATCAGAAGGAAGGGGAGGAGGACCTCCCCTATCAGTGGACTGGGGAGGGGCATGGGTGGAGAAGGGTGAGGGAGGGTGGGATTGGGAGGGGAGAAGGGAGGGAGCTACAGGGGGGATACAAAGTGAACAAACTGTAAAAAAAAAAAAACTCAAAAATAAGAAATGCTGCTATAGTTACATCTTCATTTCTCTCTCCTCTCTATGTTGTTGAGACATGCCTCCTACTGTGATCCTGACTATCCTGTGCTTGAGAGTGGCCTCAGCTGCCACTGATTCCACCACCACCGCCCAATTCCAGTTTGGATGCTGAATGGCAGGAGTGGAAGACAAAACGTGAAAAAACACAGTCTGGTTGGTAATGTTGGAACTGTCTAGAGGGAACCCAGAGAGCTTGCTATTGGGGGTTACGGGTCAGCAGAGGCCATAGAAACTGCCTCTCTCTCTGAAGAATTACCTAAACTGAAATGAGTATAGTGTGGTCAGGATCTCTATTCCTAAACTTCTGATGAATGGTTTGATTCAGTGACCTGAGATCCCTCTCTCTGGTTTTTCTTCACCTATTGCAACAAGTACTAGGTCACCTTGTGCAGTGATTAAAAATAAATGTCAACTGCTATTTCCATTTCCAGGAAGAAGAAGCAGTGAGGAGAGCAATATGGGACGGGGGGAAATGATCAAATTGCACAATAAGGAAACTAGGCCGGGGAAGCATGGCTTCACCATGGAAATGAATGCCTTTTGTGACATGGTGAGTGCGACATGGGTAGATTCACAATTTTTCTCTTCAATTCATTGATATCTTTTCCTTTTCAATGATTTGTATTTTTTTCTTTAGGGACTGGTGAAGAATTCAGGAAAATGATGAACCATATTCCAATCCCAACTCTCAAGAAAGGGAAAAGTGTCCAGAAATGGCTGGCTGGAGATGTGTCCAAATTTAAAAACTGGAAAAAGAAGGGCTCTGTTACCTCTGTGAGGAAACAGGCATTGGTATGTCACATGCCTGTGTTCCTCAACCCCTGAGGAAATTAGGCAGTGGCGTGTCTCTGTGGATTGAGTGAGCTCATTTTCTAAGAATATTTTATTCTTCCTGTGCTTTTATGCAATGTGTATCAATCATTTCCATCTGCCACTACCTTAGCCTTACACGTCCACCTAGTGTTGTTAGACTTCATGTCATCTTACGGTGCTATTTATAACCTACAGAAATCAGTAGGTCCTGCCTTTATGTGCATGTGTGTGGCCAACCACTGTGGTATGAGAAAACTGCCAGCAGTGAAATCTCCAAAGACTGGCTTTCCCTTAACAGGCTTCCATCAGCTGCTAGCGGTTCATTTTCTGACACACTATTTTGCTGTCTAATTTGGAGTTGCTATTTGTTTGTGAATGATTGTCTTTTCTTCTCTGTTAGGGAACATGTAATTCTTGTTGGGCTTTCTCTGTGGTTGGTGCCATGGAAGGACAGATGTTCCAGAAAACAGGCAAACTGATCCCTCTGAGTATACAGAACCTAGTGGACTGCTCTAGACCTCAAAGCAATCTGGAATGTCATGTAGGCAATACATACTTTGTATTGGAGTGTATGAAGGAAAATGGGGGTCTGGAGTCTAAGACAACCTATCCATATGAAGGAAAGGTAAATAGATCTTCTATGCTATTGTCATTTCATGATTTCATGGCTGTCATTGCAGAACTCTCATTGTAGGGTTGTCTAGTGATATGGCAACTGATCCTGCTTATATAAACATGAGGAGCATGAAAACCTTTATATAGCATATAAATTTCTTCACTATAAAAATTTCTTAAGGACAGCATGATCTAAATGGGTGTCACTGAGTACATAAGAGCTGATTTTCAGTTTCAAATCTTCCAGTAGCATTTTCTTTCCTGGGATGATTTATAAGAGCCCAGACTTGGGGATGCTCAGCTGCAAAGTGCAGTGTGGTTCTGACTCTTGCTTCCCAGGGCCCAGAGGGAAGTAACCTGGTCTTTTAACTCATTACATTTTCAAGGAAGGACCCTGCAGGTGTAATGCAGGTAATTCTGCTGCTAGTATCAGAGGCCACATGTTTGTCCCAAGGATTGAGAATGCTCTACTGAAGGCCATGGGACCTTCTATAGGACCCATTTCTGTTTCAATCGATGCAAGGCATGATTCTTTCCAGGTCTATAAAGAAGGTAAGCATGTGTCCTTCCAGACATTAATTTAAAAATGTGTGATTTACCCATGGCATTTCTGTTCAACAGACCCTTTTTTAAAATACAAAACATGATGTGATTATGTGGGTTTACATATTTTACATTTATCTGGTTAATAATCCTGTGTGTGACCTCCCACTTGCACATTAACAGTTCAAAAATCCATAAAATTTACTGTTTAACTTAATTTCTCAATTTTTAAAAAATTATTTTGTTTTCAGAGGAGGGGGCGTCCCACCACCAACCACAGCCTTGGGAATGTCCCTGGATGGGGTAGAGGAGTCTGAGGGAGCCAGGGGAAGGAACCCGATCCTTCCTGACAGGCTCCCCTCTGGCCCACCGTCCCCCCTTAGACCCTGATGACCAAAGGGCGACCCCCCGCCAGTGGTCTTTAAACCTATTCGCTGGAACTGGAACACTACAAGCCAGGTACCAGGAAAGGGTCTGGGCGGACATGCGACATGGGGACAGAACGCCCCCATCCCACTGACCACATGACAACTGCTCCACAAAAGCCTGAGCAGCTGTGGAGGTGCAGGGAAAGGCCCCATCCCAATGATAAGTGCTCTGCCTTGCTGTAGGGAAAAGCCTGCGGGCTACTGGGCTGCAGAGCCAGCCCAGAGGTGGTGGCCCTGGGGGCGAGAGAAGGGATGGGAGGTAGCGGAAGGAAGGGGAAGTAGAGGAAGGCTGCCAGCTGCTGTCAGTAGTGTGGTCAAAGGGGACCTACAGGGGTCCAAGGGATGGGCCAGACCCGGGAGAAGACATGCCCTGCTCCCTGCTTCTCTTCCTCCTCAGCCAAGAGCCACCTACTAGGCACCACTGATACACGAACACAAACACATACCCCCGGGACGCACCTCTGGGCAATTTTTCAATTTTTTACATGTTGTATGTCTTTAAGACTTTTGGTGAGATGGCAGCATTTCCAGGATAACGTAAAGAGAGTCTTGAATGAAGTAATTTATACTCACTGGTGCTTGCTTGCAATGGGATTCTATTAGTAAAACCACAGATGCAGGCGAGTGCTTATGAATGTGTTTGCAAGCACATGGATTTCTCTGGATTCTATTGAGGACCTGTACCAGGATCAGTCAATGACTGATCCTATTGTTACCAGGTTTTTTTTTTTTTTCTTTTGGCATTTCAGTGAAATTAGAAAATGCCTTACTTATTGTTGGTGACCATTGTCATTATCAGGTTCGAGGGGCCTCTCGCTGCTTTATTGATTGTGTTTTTTAGGTATATATCATGAGCCAAATTGCAGTAGTGCTTTTGTCACCCATTCTATGTTAGTGGTTGGCTATGGCTTTGAGGGAAGAGAATCAGATGACAGAAAATACTGGCTGGTCAAGAATAGGTATGAACTCCTGAAGATACCTGATAAGCTAGGGCCGGTCAGAAGGAGAGGAGGACACCCTCTCTCAGTGGACTCAGAAGGGGGCAGGGAGGAGATGAGGAGGAAGGTGAGGATTGGGAGGGAAAGAGGGAGAAAGCTACAACTGGGATATGAGTGAATGTATAGAATTATGCTTAAAAAATTTAAAAAAGAATAGGTATGAACTATCAAAATGTACTGGAAGTTGGAAAAGAGCTTTTTTTCTGTTTCTAGTGACTGCCTAAGTCCTAGAAAATATTGTTCCCTTAAGTTAAACAGAAATCATCTTCTTTTGATTTTCTCTCATACCTATGTGTGGTATGTGTGCATATATACCTGCTTGCATGTGAACCCACATGAATGTGCGCTTTTGTATAAGTGTGCATGCATATGTTTGCATACATGTTTGTGTGTCCTTATAGAGAGACTATAAATTGACATCAGGTGTCTTTCTTAATTGTGCTCCACTTATCAGGAGACAGGGAATCACACTGAACCTAGAGTTCACTCCTTCAGTTAGTGTGCCTAGCCTGTTAATCCCAGTTATGTCCTGGCCTCTGGGATTGCAGACAATGTGTTAAGGCTAACTGGCATTTTGAATGTATAAGTGTGTATAAGTGTGCATTATACATTTGAATGTATAAATATGTATAAGTGCGTATGAGTGAGTGCCCCACGTGGACAGATGCCTGTGCGGACCTGAAAAGGAGATCAGATAACCTGGAGATCCAGTATGAGGGTGTGTAGTCTGACATATGAGCTGGGTGGGAGTTCTTGTCTCTGTGCTTGCAGGCATTGACCATCTCCAGCCCCCATCTTGGATTTCAGTGAGCTCCTGGATTTGAATTTTAGTTTTTTCCCTTGTGTGGGCAGAGCTCGACACTCTGAGCTCTCTCCAGAGCTGGAACAACCAACTCCTACTGTGTGGTCACAATGTTCAGATTCAGCCACCAGGTTCCTTGGGTGCTGATATCATATTTGTGCCATTGATTTTATAAAGTCTGATACAATTGCTATTTCTGAACCACTCATGGGTAAAAAGTTGTCCTATCTTTTCCTTGCTGTGATTTTCATAGTCCTTTGTGAGGTAACTATGGATTTTCATGCTCTGCTTTTTCATGTGTTTTCTATGAAGCTGGCCTCTGGCTCAACACTCAAATGAGTTATTACAATGATCCACTGTGCTGTTATCGTCACTAAAGGGAAAGCATGCTTTCTTTCAGCATGTGCAAAAAAATGGGGCCCTAGAGGCTATATGAAGATTGCCAGAGACCAGAGAAACCATGGTGGAATTGCTACATATGCCCCACAGTGTGAGCCACCTGGTGATGAGATAGAAGGAATAGAGTTAAGACAACATGGACAGAAGAGGTGTATCATTCTGGAAGCAACTGGCCATTGCTGGGTTTATCAGGCACTTCAGCCCTTTAAAATCCAGTACTAGGACATATTTACTTTACTGAGATATAGCCACTACTGCAACTGATACCATACACTTATTTGTACATATGTTTCTTTTCCACTGTAGCCCATCAAGTTTTTAAAAATAAAGCTTCCTTTAAACGGAGAGATGACTTAGAGGTTAATAACGCTGGCTGCTCTTCCAGAGGTCCTGAGTTCAATTCCCAGCAACCACATGGTGGCTCACAACCATCTATAATAATGAAATCTGGTGCCCTCTTCTGGCCTGCACATGTATATGCAGGCAGAACACTGCATACATAATAAATGAATCTTAAAATAAATAAATAAATAAATAAATAAATAAATAAATAAATAAATAAATAAATGTTTCTCTGTCATTTGGTTTTCCTTTATTGAGAATTCTCTGTTTATATCTGTACCCCATTTTAAAATTGGATGATTTGAGGATTTTTCTGGCATTTAGTTTCCGGAGTTCTTTTATATTTTGGGTATTGGTCCTCTATGAGATGTGGACTTGGTAAAAATATTTTCCCATTCTGTAGGCTACTGCCTTGTCCGAATGATGGTGTCCTTTGTCTTACAGAGCTTTTCAGTTTTATAAGGTGTCATTTATGAAGAATTTGTCTTAGTGCCTATGCTACTGGTGTTCTGTTTAGAAACTTGTCCTGTGGCACTGAGTTCAAGGTTTTTCCCAACTTTCTTTTCATCAGGTTCAGTGTTTCTGGTTTTATGTTGAAGTCTTTGATCCACTTAGACTTGACTTTTGTGCAGGGTGATAAGAATGGATCTATTTGCATTCTTCTACATGCAGCCATCCAGTTTGACCAACACCATTTGTTGAAGACATTGTCTTTTTTTTTTTTCACGATGTATTTCTGGTTTCTTTATGAAAAACTGGGGTGTCTATATGTATATGGATTTATATCTTCAGTTTGAGCCCTTGACCATCATATCCGTTTTTGCCAATACCATGTACTTTTATTACTATAGCTCTTACAGTATAATTTGAAATCTGGAATGGAAAGACTTAGCGCAATTCTTCTATTATTCAGGACTGTTTTTGCTACCCTGGGTTTTTTTATTTTCCATATGAAGTTGAGATGTTCTCTTTCAAGGTCCATGAAAAATTGTGTTGGAATTTTGATGAAGACTGCACTAACTCTGTAGATTACTTTTGATAGTTTGGCCATTTTTACTATGTTAATTCTACTGATCCATGAGCATGAGAGAATTTTCCATCTTCTGACATCTTTATTTTTATTTATTATTATTAATTTAGTTATTTACTCTACATCTGGTTACAGTTTTTCCCCTTCTCTTCTCTCAGTCTCTCTTTCTTCCCCATCTCCCCTCCTCCTCTTCTCCTCAGAAAAGGGGAAGCCTGTCACAGATATCAAACAAGCTTGGCATGTCAAGTTGTAGAAGACTAGACACATCTTCTTTTGAGGCTAGACAAGGCAGCCCAGTTTGGGGAAGGGATCCAAAGGCAGGGAGTGTAGTCAGAGATAGTTTCTGCTCCTGCTTTAGGAGCCCACTTGACGAACTATCTGGACAAATGTTACATATGTGCAAAGGGTATAGGTCTGTCCCATGCATGCGCTCTGGTTCAGAGTTCAGTCTCTGTGAGCCCTATGTGCCCAGGTTAGTTGATTCTGTATGCTTTCTTGTGGTTTCTGTGACCCTTCCAGTTCCTTCAATCCTTCTTCCATCTCTTTCACAGGATTCTCTAAGCTCCACTTAATGTTTGGCTATAGGTCTCTTCATCAGTTTCCATCAGTAGCTGGTGAAGCCTCTCTGATGACAGTTATATTAGGCTTCTGCCTGCAAATATAGCAGAATATTATTAATAATTTCAGGGGTGGGCTCCCTTTCAGGGAATGGTCACACTGGGCCAATCATTGGTTGGCTCTTCCCTCGAAATCTGCTCCATCTTTTAGCCCTCTCCATCTGTATGCAGGACAAATTGTGGATCTAGGATTTTGTGGCTGGGTTAGTGTCCCAGTCCTTCCAATTGAAGTCTTATCTGGTTACAGGGGATGGACAGTTCAGGCTCCATATTCCCCATTGTTAGGAGGCTTAGCTTAGGGTACCCTCATAGATTCCTGGGAGTTTCCATTGTCCTAGGTTTCTGGCTCATCCATGACAACTCCCCTAACTCCAATCCAGTTGTCTCTCGCAGTATTCTCTCCCTTTGACCTCTCCATGTATCATCTCTTCTGTTCTCATCTCCATCCTATTCTTTACCTAGTCCCCTCCCTCAACCCATCCCTAATATTCCCAGTGAGATTTAAGCAAATCCCCTTGAGCCCTCCTTGTTTCTCTTAGATTCTTTGGGTGCATGGTTTGTAGCACAGTTATCCTGTATTTTATGACTACTATCCACTTATAATTGAGCGAGTACATACTATGTTTGTCTTTCTAGGTCTGAGTTACCTCACTCAGGATGATCTTTTTTAGTTACATCTGTTTTCTTGCAAATTTCATGATTTCCATATTTTTAATGGCTGAGTAATACTCTATGGGTAAATGTACCATATTTTCTTTATCTATTCTTTGGTTGAGGGACATCTAGGTTGTTTCCAGTTTTTTGCTATTATGAGTAAGTTGCTATGAACATAGTTGAGCAAATGTTCTTGTGATATGGTGGAGCATCTTTTGGGGATATGCCCAGCGGTGGTATCTGATAGGCTGCCAGACTCATTTCCAGAGACGATGTACAAGTTTGCACTCCTACCAGCAATGTAGGAGTGTTCCTCTTGCTTCACATCATCACTAACATGAGCTGTCACTTGAGTTTTTGGTTTAACCATTCTGACATGTGTAAGATGGAATCTCAGAGTTGTTTTGATTTTCATTTCCGTGGTGATAAGGACCCTGAACATTTCTTTAAGTGCTTCTTGGCCACTATAGATTCCTCTGTTTAGAATGATCTGTTTATCTCTATGTTCCATTTTTAAATTGAGTTATTTATTTTGTTGGTGTTTAATTTCTTGTGTTATTATCTATTTTGGACTTTAACACTCTGCCTGATTTAGGGTTGGTGAAATTTTTTATCATTCTACAGGCTGCTGTTTAGGCCTATTTATAGTGTTCTTTGCCTTACAGAAGCTTTTCAGCTTCATGATATCCCATTTATTAATTGTTGATCTTAGTGCCTGAGCTGTTGCTGTTCTGTTCAGGAAGTTGTCTCCTGTGTTTAAGGCTATTCTCCACTTTCTCTTCCATTAGATTTATTGTATCCAGTTTTCTGTTGATGTCTTTGATCCACTTGGACCTTATTATTGTGCAAGATGACAAATATGAATCTATTTTCACTCTTCTCTGTACAGATATCTAGTTAGAACAGAACCATTTGTTGAAGATGATTTCTTCTTCCACTGTATGGTTTGGCTTCTTTGTCAAAAATCAAGTGTGTACAGGTGTGTGGGTTTATTTCTGAGTCTTTGATTTGATACCATTGATCTACCTGTGTGTTTTTATGCCAATACCATGCAATTTTGATATAAGGTATGGTGATAACCTCCAGAAGTTTTCTTTTTTCTTGTACAGGATTGATTTTGGTAAGATGACCATTTTTATTATGTTAATCTACCAATCCGTGAGCATTGGAGATCTTTCCATAATCTTCAGTTTCTTTCTTTAAAGTTTTAATAGTCTTGCCATACAGGTTTTTCACTTGCTTCATTAGAATTACACCAGATATTTTATTTTATTTATGGCTATTGTGAGTAGTGCTGTTTCCTTGATTTTTCTCAGTCCATTTATAATTTGTATATAGAAGATGTACTGATTTTTTTGAGTTAATTTTGCATTTAGCCACTTTGCTGAAGGTGTTTATCAGCTGTCAGAGTTTCCTGGTTGAATTTTGGAGGTCATTTATTTGTATTATCATATCATTGGTGAATAGCAATACTTTTACTTCTTCCATTCCAATTTGTACCCTTTTCATCTCCTTTAGTTGTCTTCTTACTCTAGCTAGAATTTCAAACTCTATGTTGAATAGATATGGGGGGAGTGGACAGCCTTGTCCTGGATTTAAGTCAAATTGCTCTAAGTTTTTCTTCATTTAATTTGATGTTGGCTATCAGCTTGTTTTATTTTGCCTATATTGTGTTTAGGTATGTGCCTTATATCCCTGATCTCTCAAAGACTTTTATCATGAAGAGGTGTTGGGTTTTGTCAAAGGCTTTTTCAGCATCTAGTGAGCTGATCATGAATTTTTTTCTTTTTTTTTTCTACTGTAGATTACACTGATGAATTTTTCTATGTTGAACCATCTCTGCATCTCTGGTATGAAGCCTACTTAATTATGATGAATGATATTTTTAATATGTTCTTTGATTCAGTTTGGGAGTATTTTATTGAGGATTTTTGTGTTAACATTCATAAGGAAAATTGGTTGGAAATTCTCTTCTTGGTTGAGTCATTGCGAGTTTTGGTTATCAGGTAACTGTGACTTCATAAAATGAATTTGTCAATGTTCCTTCTGGTTCTATTTTACAGAATAATTTGAGGAGCATTTGTATTAGCTATTATTCTTTGAAAGTCTGGTAGAATTATGCACTGAAACCAACTGGCCCTGTGCTTCTTTTGGTTGTGGGACTTTTAATTACTGCTTCTATTTCCTTAGGAATTATAGGTCTATTTATATTGTTTACCTGATTCAGATTTTATTTTCATAACTGCTATCTATCACGAAAATCATCCATTTTGTTTAGTTGTTTTTTAATTTTGTGGAGTGCAGCTTTTTGATGTAAGACCTAATATTCTTTCAGTTTCCTCAGTGTCTGTTGTTATGACCTCTTTCATTTCTGATTATGTTAATTTGAATATTATCTCTGCCTTTTATTTAGTTTGGCTATGGATTTGTTTATTTTACTGATTTTTCATAGAATAAAACTGTTTCTTGATTCTTTGTATTTTTCTCTTTGTTTCTATTTAATTGATTACAGCTCCGAGTTTTCATATTTCAAATTCAGAACATGTCTGCTCTGACAAAGGATCTCATCCAAAGATGTT